CATTTCTTTAGGGGGCCGCACAGCCCTCCATGTGCTCGCCAGAGGTAGCCTGACTGCCATTAGGTACCGAGATGAGATCCTCAGAACTCTTGTGAGACCATATGCTGGTGCGGTTGGCCCTGGGTTCCTCCTAATGCAAGACAATGCTAGACCTCATGTGGCTGGAGTGTGTCAACAGTTCCTGCAAGACGAAGGCATTGATGCTATGGACTGGCCCGCCCGTTCCCCAGACCTGAATCCAATTGAGCACATCTGGGACATCATGTCTCGCTCCATCCACCAATGCCACGTTGCACCACAGAATTGGGGGATGCTTTAGTCCAGGTGTGGGATGAGATCCCTCAGGAGACCATCCGCCACCTCATCAGGGGCATGCCCAGGCGTTGTAGGGAGGTCATACAGGCATGTGGAGGCCACACACACTACTGAGCCTCATTTTGACTTGTTTTAAGGACATTACATCAAAGTTGGATCAGCTTGTAGTATTGTTTTCCACTTTAATTTTGAGTGTAACTCCAAAGCCAGACCTCCATGGGTTGCTAAATTTGATTTCCATTGATAATTTTTGTGTGACTTTGTTGTCAACACATTCAACTATGTAATGAACAATACAGTACATACGGCTGAGTTTTCAGAACACACTATACCCTAAATCTGGATGAACAAAACCCTAATTGGTGTGTTCACACATGTGATGCTCAGATAAAATCCCTTCTGATTGAGCAGAATGGCCTTGTTCGCATCCTGGGCCCAGAGAACAGCAGGATCAGAGGTCAGGTAGTCCTCAAGGTATGACCCTAATGGAAACCGCCTATTAAGGTTGTAAATCAAAATTTTCGTAAAATACTCAATTTTAGTACATTTTTTTTACTAAGCTTGCTAATCGAATCAAATAAGTTGTTAAGTGAGTTAAATGATCACCGCCATTGTTAAGTGAGTAGAGAGGCTTTGGTGTGGGACCTCCTGAGTCCTGCCACCTGCCTATCAGCTGTTTCTAGCAAGGGTGTGCAGCCTTCTGCCCAGGAATTGTCTCCAGGCAGGTGCCCAAAGTGGGGAGGGGGTGATTTCCTCCCAGCTAGGGGACAGCAGCAGCTCCCTTGGCTCTCTGCCAGGGGAAAAAGGAACAGTAGCAGCCACATGCTACCCATGTTTACCCTGGATTGATTGATTCATGGCTCTCCCCTCTAACTCTCCCCACCACGAGCTGAAGGCTGGTCCTGAATCCTCACCTAAAAAAACAACCCTGTGAAGTAGGGCAGGTTAACAGAGTGACTGGCACACAAAGTTTAAGCTTCCAGGGCTGAACCACATCATCATATTTGCAGACAGCATCAAGCCAGCGGGAACAGCCAACAGCTGTAGCATCCAGTCTTCAAGCCCCACCAAGGATGCTCCATGCAGCAGCTATTGAGAATAAAACTGCACTGCCTACAAAATTCTTAGATCTTGATTGGCCATGTGACCGGGGGAAAAATGTGCCGACCATATGGGTCTCCAGAAATTGCGTCATAACCCCAGATGAAAAAAGGGAAGTCATGGGATTCAAAATGGCCACCAATGCAGGAGTGACTGAATTCCAGGTCACATGACTGCAGAGGCTTCTTCTTGGATGCAATTTTGAATTCCTAGGGTAAGTACACATTTGGGGTAAATTTGTTTAATGGATGTTCCTACCTGTACAGTAGATCCTCTGGTGATGACCGTAATCTGTTCTGAGAATTTGTCGTCACCGTATTTGGTCATCACCGAAAGCACACACGTGTAAAAAAAAATGGCAGGGTGCAGAAGGGCAAATTGCTGCGGCTGTGTTTGGTCCCCACCTGAGCACCTGTTCACGACCAGAGGTAAAAAAATTTGTTCATCACCCGATTTGGTCGTGAACGGAAGCATTTGCAACCAGAGGTTCTACTGTATCAGGGGCTAGATCTGGATTGCAAAATGTGAACCACCACTAGAGGGCAGCAATACCCTCTGCTGCCATCCAGTGAGCTTTTGTATTTTGGCAGCCCAGATTCTGTCTCTGTCAGTGTTATTTCTAAAATAGCACACTGGAGAAGTCTCCCTGTCCTAAAGATATGCCCTTGCCTTCAGCCAACGTAACTGTTAACTTTCACTGCCATGAATAGAACCACAAAATAATGACCTAGAAATGCAGATGACTTGCAGTGTCCCTCTTTCCTTAGCCCAATATATAGCCAAGGATTCCATGTTGGGTCAGGCAGTGCAAGATCCCAATTTTTTCTGTCCCTCATCATTGCAAATCTCTGTTTTGTAATCCAAAAGGCCAAACCAAGCCCTAATTCAGGGATTCTCCAGTGCTGGAAACCACCACAAGCAGCAACAGACAACACAGTGATGGCCCTTGGAATGCTAGGAGTTGAAGTCCACAATACTGGCAAGTCACATTGGACCAGGTTGGTCTGAGACAATAAAAACTGTCATCTTTCTCTTCTTCTGGTGCAAGAAGGAAAAGCTGCAAGGACTATCAACCTGCTAAAATTGAGGCAGCTGAAGCAAGCAGATGTTGCTGGATGGCCCAGTCGGCAGTAACTTCTTCACCTTTTGAGATGCTGCTCTTTTAAGTGGCAGCCAAGGAAAGCTTGTTGTGATGACCCGGAGTGTAACACAAACGTAACAAAATCCAAAATGTAAATAAATGTCCTTTAATACCTCCAGCTTGGTCCCACTGTTCAATAATTCTCAGTTGGAGATAAAACTTACTCAAAAATACTCTTCAAAAGAAAGCAATACCGTCCAAACTTAATGAGCAGATAGAGGTGAAATAAAAAACCAAACTACAATGAAGAAATTTCCACAACGGACCAGGATAAGTAATTACCAACTTCAAGGAGATAACAAGGCACAGTCTGTTGGAAGGATGCCAAGATAACTTCAGCCCAAAATAAAACATGCTTTGCTTCTGGCAAAGCTGTGTTGTAATCATCTCTCTTATATACTATTCTCCTCAGCTGCAACCAATGAGGGGGATCATGGCCATTTCCTCTCTCGTAATCCAAGTTGTTTCCTTCTCCGTTCCTCCCTGCGTGTCCTAGGATGAAGAGGGGATGGGCCTGGGTCCTCCTCTGACTGCCCAGCTGGCCTCTGCCCTTCCCCAGCCTCCTCCACAACCTCCGGAGCCACACCTCCACTCCCTGTTGGCTGCTCCTCTTCTCCCTCAGAGTCCAACTCTAACAAGGGCATGACACTTGTGTTCAACCTCTTTGCTTCTGAAATAAGCCAGAAATGTCTGTATTTTCTCTCAACAAGCCAAGAAACATGATCTGTGACTCCAACTTTCTTCTCCCCTATGGCCACCAGGTTGTGTATCATGTTTCCTTCTTCTATTGGCTGTGCTACGGCTTTTGCACGCTGTTGAGTCAGAATCAGAACAGAGCTGGAAGGGACCTTGGAGGTCTTCTAGTCCAACCCCAGGCAAGAAGCTCTGTATCATTACAGACAAATGGCTGCAATTTTTTTCTTAAAAACCTCCAGTGATGGAGCACCCACAACTTCTGGAGGCAAACTGTTCCACTGGTTCATTGTCCTGTTAGAAAGTTTCTCCTTAATTCCAGTTTGCTTCTCTCCTTGATTAGTTTCCATCCGTTGCTGCTTCTCCTGCCTTGTGGTGCTTTGGAGAATAAGTTGACCCCCCTCTTCTTTATGGCAGCCCCTCAAATACTGGAAGATTGCTATCATGTCGCCCCTAGTCCTTCTTTTCTCTAGACTGGCCAAACCCAATTCCTGCAACCGTTCTTCGTATATTTCAGTCTCCAGGCCCTTAATCATCTTAGTTTGCTCTTCTTTGCACTTTTTCCAACGTTGAATGAAGAAGCCATTGATAAAATAGTTTAACTAATAAGGTTTCTCTTGCACAATTGTAGGGTTGTTGTTTTTTGCAGCACAGGTTGAAGCAAGGAGCTGTTTGTTTATCAAGCCGGCTCCTTTTGCAGGGCTGGAGAGCAACCTCACGGAGGCGACCAACAGGCATGGCGGGGCTCAGCGTGGAAGCCCCCCTCGTGCCATTCTCGCCCCTCTGGCCGGAGGGGGCGCCCGGCATGGTCACCCGGCGGCTTTCCGCCCTCGGAAGGGCCACGGTCTCCGAGGCTCCGGACTCCCCCAGGCGGCCCCTCGCAGGATTCTTGTGGCCGCGTCAGTTGGCCTTGCACGACGCCGTCGTCCGCTTGAGCCTGGAAGCGGTGGGGGCATCGAGGCCTTGGCGAAGCTTCAGCCCGCAATGGGGCCAGCAACGTCTGCCCTGGAGGCCGCAAAGAACAGGCTTTCCCTTCTATCCGGGCTGACGGGGCTCCGCGAGGCCGCTGCTTGCCCAGTTTGCGGCGAGCCTTGGCCGCCAGCGGGATACAAGCAGCTCGAGGCCTGTGAGGGAAGGCCGGCCTACGCGAGGCACCAGTAGGCCCGGCACATGGATTGCCAAGGCAACGCGAGCGGGAGATCGATCGGTGACGGCTCTCCTCCCTCCTCCAATGGTCACGCGCGATTTCCGGATGCGCCCGCCCCTTCCGCTCGCCGGCCTCCTTCCTCTGTCCCCTTGGCGGGCGACGCCGTTGCCATGGCAGCAGAGGAGGCCGAAGCCCAGCCGCACCGATGCCCAAGCTGCCGCTCTCGCCTGTGCCCGAGCAGGAGGCCGACGCGGCGGGGGAGCGGCTCTCAGGGAACGCGTCCCCCGCGTCCCTCGCTCCGAGCGCCTTCAGCTTGCGGAACTCAGAGGCAAGGAGGAAAAAACCGCCTCCCCCCCCCGCAGTCGGACCTCAACTTCCTTTACTCCCGAGGCTGTGGGTGATGGGAATTGTAGTCCAGCGGCGAATAATAGACGGGACAGCCGAGTCAAACTGATTAAAAACCCAAAAAAAAGGGGAAGGACCCGGCCGGGATGGTAGACCTCGGCAGCACGCCAGCTGTGATGAGGGCGGTTGTAGTCCAGTATTGCTGAAAGGCTGTGAGGAGCAGTGCCGGCTGGGGATGAGGGCAATTGTAGTCCAATACATCTGGAAGACCGTGGGGAGCTTTGTCGCGGGGTTGGACTAGATGACCTACAAAGTCCCTTCCAACTCTGTCCGTCTGAACAGGGGTGGCTGGGAATGATGGTGGCTACAGTCCAAAAGAGAGAATGCTGCTTTGGGGTTTTATTTTTATTTATATATAGGTAGTCCTCGACTTATGACCACAATTGAGCCCAAAATTTACCTTAAGTGAGAAATTTGTTTGAGTGAGTTTTGCCTTGGTTTTACGATTTTTTGTACCAATTTATTCAGTGACTCACTGCAGTTATGAATTGAATAACACGGTTTGTTAAGTGAATCAGGCTTCCCCATTGACTTTGCCTGTCAGAAGGTCGCAAAAGGGGATCACATGACCTCGGGACACTGCTACGGTCATAAATATGAATCAATTGCCAAGCATCTATCTGACTCTTGACCCATGGGGATGCTGCAACGGTCATAAGTATGAAAAGGGGATCATAAGTCACTTTTTTCAATGATGTAACTTTGCTCACTAAAGGAACTGCTGTAAGTTGAGGACTACCTCTATTGTCATTCATATTTGATAGAATAGAATAGAATTCTTTATTGGCCAAGTGTGATTGGACACACAAGGAATTTGTCTTTGGTGCAAATGCTTTCAGTGTACATAAAAGAAAAGATAAGATTCGTCAAGGTACAATAGAATACAGAATGGAATAGAATAGTTGTGCAGACTTTGTAAATAGTTGGACAGAGTTGAGGGAATTAGTTGTTTAGCAGAGTGATGGCATTCAGGAAAAAACTCCTTGTGTCTAGTTGTTCTGGTGTGCAGGGCTCTATAGCGTCGTTTTGAGGCTAAGAGGAGTTGAAACTGTTTATGTCCAGGATGTGAGGGGTCTATAGATATTTTCACATATTTTGATGATGACAGCACCTCAGTCAAGGGGGGTGACCTGGTCCCCTCAAGGTGGAAGGAGAGCAGGGGTTTCCACAAAGACACCTGTCTCTCTGTCCAGTCTAATTTATCCATACATAGCAAAAGAAACGATTTTCAATAAAGGTGGTTTAGCTTCCAGTTTTAATGACGGCTTCTCTCGACAAAACAAGAACAAGCTTACCGATAGAGGAGAATATTTGTAGCTCAGGGTTAAGAGGAGGGGGCCTTAGTGCTGTCTGAACTTGATCAACCTCAAAATAAGATTAAGAATAAGCTCTCAGCGATTGGAACCTGGCTTGTTCCTGGCTCTGTAAAGCAGGGGGATGTGCATAGAATTACATTGGTAGTCAAATGAAATTAAAAAGTCTGGTGTTGATCAGGATTATGGTGATTAAGAGTCCAGCATTGAATCTGTTGAATTAAGAAGAATAAATGAGTTGTAATAATAATATGTAACTGTCTGTAGCTCAGGAGATGCATGATAGGAAACCACAAATATAGGAAATTGGGTTTGCTAAATATGCTTTTTTTCTAAATATGCTTCTAAAATATACTGGGGAAGCCACGATATTGCAGCAATTTCTGCTTTTTATCTATTTTCATGCAAATGGCTGTTTTCTTGCTTATGTAACCATATAAACCACATAAAGTATAAAACCACGTTGAATAGATCATTTGGGGTTCTTCCAGCTTTATAGGAGGGCCCACTTTTATACATATCTAAGTAAACATGACTCAGAGAGAACAAAATTTTGCCTCTCTGCTTGTGCCAGGCCAGGCCTAGATTTCCTGCTTGATGCTGGTGCAAATTTCTTAGCTTAGTATCCCTTTTGGTGTTTTGTTTTTGTTGGGAGGTGAAAGCGTGCTTGAGAAAGTTACTTGAGAAAGTTATGCTACAAATTTTAATTACTGGATTGTTTACCACTTCCTGAGATAAAGTTAGTTAAAGTGACATAATTACAAAATGAGCTGCTTCTTAATCATGTTAGCAATAGAGGAGGGGAGCCCTTGAATATTTCAAATGTATTTGGTATATCTATTAGAATATTGAGAATCTATTATTTATTCTACATCCTATATTTTTCCCAGCCTGCTTGACAGAAACCATATGTTTTATTCAGGTTTCTAAGGCTGCTGATTTTCCTGACTGGTTGCTGTTCCTAGTTTGAAACAAATATCTTGTTTTTCAAGCGTTTTGTTAGCTGGGCCTCTGTATCTTTACCTTTTTTTGGATAGAGGTATGTTTGTATATTTCTGTTTCTTGACACAGTATTATATCAGACTTTTTCAAGGTCCCCTGATATATCAGAATCCAATTGCCAGGAAAACAGCGCCTGCTTGTTGGAGAAAACATTAAACTGTTCTGAAGAAGAAGAAGAGGATGAAGAAGAAGCAGAAGACGATCAAATGGAAGAGTGGGACACAGACCTTGAGATAGAAAGTACGGATTAGACAAGTTGCCAATCTGCTTACAATTGCCAAGGTTGGGAAACATTGAACTAGGCCCAGGGAGACCCAAGAGTCTTTAGTTCATCTTTAACTGTGGAAGCTCCCTGGGTGACTTTGGGCCAGTCAGTCTCAGACCAACTTACATTACAATATTGTTATGGGAAAAAAATAGAGTGAGCACTATGGAAGCCACTTTTAGCTATTGATATAAAGGCAGGATATACCTCTGTCCAACAGATAAACAAATAAAGAGCTCTCACGGATAAGTTGGCAACTAAGCAAGTATTAGGTATTCCCTCTCCATCAACCTGATATAGGAATAATAGCACTTAGACTTATATACCACTTTACTGTGCTTTATGCCTTCTCTAAGCGGTTTATAGAGTCAGCCTCTTGCCCCCAACTATTTGGGTCTCCTCATTTTACTGACTTCAGAAGGATGGAAGGCTGAGTCAACCTTGAGCCAGTGAGACTCGAACTGCCAAATTGTAGTCAGCAGTCAGCAGAGGCAGCCTGCAGTACTGAACTCTGCGCCACCATGGGCTCATATAAATCTTAAGACAATCTCATGAGATTTTGGCCACTCTTTAATTAACATTTGTAACCTTTCGTTCTTGCAATTTTTAATTCTGAACATCTGATGCCTAACACCAAAATGTTAGGACCTGCATGCTTTGAGTGGCCAACCTGCAGTCTGAGCAATGAATATTCCGCCTTTGAAATGAAAGCTTGGCATTGGCCATTGTCAGCTTGGCTTCCACAAATCTATTTCTGGTCAGTTGTCATTTCCAAGGCATTGTGACTTTGGTGCAGCTCTTGAGAGTTTCAAAACAAACTCACCAAACTCTTTTTGTGAATTGCTTTGTGTCAACTCATAAAATATTTCTATGGTCTTTTTGGAGTTGCCAACAGAAAGGGAGGGGGGAAAGGGATTTGAAAGAGCAATGCAGCAGCTTGGAAATCGAAAGTGCATTTCATACATAGTTTTTCAAAGATAGTAACTAGGTGACTGAAGTTTCTGCTGCACAAATATCTAACTGGAAAACAATATTGATGACTCTTGGCTATGGATGTGTCCCATTGGAGAATATGAATTACGATACACCCAGGGGGTGGGGGAAACCAGGGTCAAGGATGACAGTGAATTATGTGCCTCAGAGTCAGCTACACTCAGACAGTGCCGGACATGTTATAGGCGATTCTGAGACACATAATTCATTGTCACCCTTGACCCTGGTTTTCCCCCCACGCCCTGGGTGTACCATAATTCATATGTCATTATCCCCTCAGTACTTTCTGCATACAAGACCCCGGAACGAGTATCTGGTGCAGGCATGCCCTTGGGCTGGTGCTAGAGTTTTTAAAAGTCATCTTGCTCTTGCACTGCCAGTAACTACAGATGCTTCCTGGGTCTGGTTGTTTTACAGAAAACCAAAGATGACCATTACTTTCATTTTTTCCTTTGTCTTGGCCTAGAATCTACAATATGCTATGATCCTGCGGGGAAAGCCAGATACCTTGCAATCTGTCAAGCGTACGGCGTGGTCCCTATCTCTTATTTTTTACGGCATATGAAAGATACTGAGCTGACTGTGAAGCATCGTGGCCTTAGCCCTAAGGTAATTCTGCCAGGTGTCCTTTCGGCCTAAACAGTTCAGGATTTGCTTTGCACTCTGCAAGTATGAATCTCCTCACTGCCTTTGAATATTCTGTCTTCCCCCTCACCTTTTTCCCCCTCTGCTTGGGAATATTATATTATATTTCTTTTCTTTTTTAATTTTAAAAAACCTTTATTAACGTTTAAAATGTTAAAATACAAATATATCTATCACAAAAATACATTTGTATAATTCCCATTGTTCTTTGATGTTACAAAAATCTTACCCTGTTTCTCCAACAATACGGCCTCCCCCAATAGGAAGTCCCAGCATGTTTTATAGGCATGAAATGAAATTAAGCCCCTCCCCCCAAATTAAGGCCTATATTAAAACATGCGAAATGGGGGGGAATTGGGGGGGCGCTTGCCATTAGGAAGTACTCTTGTTGCACACCTGGATATGGTGCTGCCTGCATTGACCCCGATACGAAGTGCCCCACCAATGCCGAGGTCAACATCCAAGCTGTCGCCGCCCGCCCGCCCGAAGATGCAAGGGGGAGGGGAATTAAGTCACCCCCGAAAAGACGACCTAGCCATTTTTTCGGGGCTTAAAAAAAAATAAGACCCGGCCTTATTATATGAGAAACACGGTAGCTATATTCATACATTTTCAGATATTTCTAATTAATCATATACATATACATAATTTATGTCTTATTCTAATCTAATCTATATATTTCGTATTCCTATTTTTTATCCATTGATACCAGTTATCCCAGATTGAATAATATTCCGAGTCTTCCTTATTATTTAATTCTATAATAAGTTTATCCATTTCTGCACACTCAAAAATTTTACAGATTATTAAACAGTCGGTATAGTGGCCATTTTCCAAGATGGTGTGACTACAATTCTTGCTGCTGTAGTAAATATGTATAATCAAATATTTAATCTTTTTACTTTCCCTTAATAATCCCCAGAAGAGACAGTTCAGGCTTCGATTCTATTTGGCAGTGTGTGATTTCATTTAACCATTTTTGTATTTTGATCCAATATTTTTTAATTTTCGGGCAAAGCCACCATACATGGAAATAGGTCCCTTGTGCCTGTTTACATTTCCAGCAGTTAGGGTTCAAATTGGGGTAGGGAATATTATATTTCCTTACAGAGTTGTTTGTGGAAATAGTCAAGGAGCATTACAGTACCAACACTAGAGCAGGGGTCCCCAAACTTGGCAACTTTAAGACTTGTGGACTTCAACTCCCAGAATTCTCCAGCCAGCATAAGTCCACAAGTCTTAGTTGCCAAGTTTGGAGACCTCTGCACTACACTGTTGCAGAAATATGTAGGTGCCTGACGTATTCCATTAACTCTTACCTTCAAAACGAAAAATGATCAAGGTGCCTTATGGAGAAAAACATCCAAAGACAATACAATTGTTAGTAGCAAAGCATAAGCAGCCAGTTTGAACAACATAAAACAGAGAAACAAAATAGGCCAGTTGAAATGACAAAGTGGTAAGGGGATCCTTGCCTGGCACTAATAAGATGGCAGAGAGGCTCAGGGGACAGTCTTCCCTCAGAAGCCAGAGCTGATCCCCACTGAGCTCTCACCTCACAATCAGGAGGCTGTGAGTTCGATCCTAGGTAGAGGCTAATATTTGGAATAGACTCTCCTGCTCAAGCAGCGGGTTGGACTAGATGACCTCCAAGGTCCCTCCCAACTCTGTTATTCTATGTTCTATTATGGTGAACCTATGGCACAGGTGCCACAGGTGGCATGCAGAGCCATTTGTGTGGGCACGCAAGACCCAGCCAAACTTACCTACGCTGCCCATGTGCCTCCCAGCTGATTTTGGGCTTGTTTGAGGCCGCTTTCGCCCCCCCCCAGAGGCTCGAGGGGAGCCTCTGCAGCCTCAGGAGGCTAAAAAAGGGGCCTTCCAGAAATGCCGGAAGTGTCGAAACGGCCCCATTTTCAGCCTCCCGAGTCTCCTGAGGCTTCCCTCGAGCCTCTGGGGGGGGGGGGGGGGCCGAAAGGGCCCCCCTGGGGCGAAAAACAGCTGGGGGGCACATGGGCAGTGCAGGTAAGGGGGCGGTGGTGTTGCGTGCGCATGCACGGGGGGGGGCAGGGCTCATTGCATTGTGGATGCCAGCACATGTGCATGCATGCTATTGCGCACACGTGTGCACTTTCAGAACAGCCACAACAAAAAGGTTCGCCCTCACTCTTCTATGTTCTGTGTCTCCAGAGATGAGGGTTCCGTCCTTTAAATAAGGCCTAAAGTTATTGGGCCAGTTTCGTGGCAAAGCAGCCTGCAGGGCCTTAGCCACCCCAGCTGAACGGGACTTAGGGATTCAAAGGCAGCAGGTGCTGCTGGCATATGGTGCAGCCCCCCTCCCCTCCCCCAAAAAACCCTGTGCTTGATCTCTATGGGAAACAAGAAGCCAGATGCGCCCGTGTGGCAGTCCCAGATCAGGAGACGTGGCCTCGTTTTCATGGCTGCATTCCTGCTGAAATAATCCACCAGGAGCTGCAGTGCATGTCCCTGAGCGGTGAGACTGAAGGCAAACCTGGATGGGGCACCTCTTCTGACCCTTCCATTTCCTTCTCTCTTCCTTATCACAGGTGTTGCTTGGTTAGAGCAGTGGTTGCCAATCAGTGGGCTGGGGACCACTGGTGGTCCCTGAGAAAATTTTGGTGGTCCACAGAGAAATGTCACCCCCAAAGCAATTAATCCAGGCTGCGCAGGAACACAAGGCTGCGCCACCCACGTGGCCTGCTGGAACACAAGGCTTGCGTCGCTTGCATTGCGAACAACATGAGGTGGTGAGGGGAGGGAGAAAGGGCGGAGAGGGAGAACTTGCCCCACTAACCCTATGCACCTCGCCTGGCCACTGGGCTGCTTCTTTCTGCTTCTGCTTTTGGCTGCATGCAAGGAAAGCAGCAAAAGTCTTCCTTTCTCTCCCCCAAACTGCCAGAAATGAGTCTTTGGGACCCTGCGAAGCCTCCTGCTCCAAGAGGCTGTGCCGACAAAGACTCATTTCTGGCGGAGTTTGGGGGAAAGAAAGAAAGACTTCTGCTGCTTCTGCTGCATTCCTTGCATGAAGCAGACTTTTGGGGGGATTTTCCCAGGGTCTCTGGTCTGTGGGATTTAAAATGATGAGTTTGGTGGTCCCTGGGGTCCAAAAGGTTGGTCTAAACAGGTCCCTTGCTAATGGCTTTTCAGTTTTGGCTGAGCCTCTTGTGAAATTAAGGAAAGGCCATGCCAGCTCCCTCCCAGGCTGCAGTTTGTCTGCCCCAGGCCCTCAAACCTTGACCAGAGGACTGGGCTAGATCCCAGCCTTCTGCACACACACACACCCCAGCTCTTCCCTGCTTTGCCTTTTCTTTTAGGCAGCCAAAGCGCTCGCTCTTTCCCTGACCAGCAACACATCCATTGTGAAGCTGAACCTGAGTGACAACGGGCTGGATGGAAACGGAGCAATTGCGATGGCGGAGATGTTAAAGGAAAACTGCTACATTTCAGGTGCCCCTCTTACTTGCTTCAGGAGGTCCATGTAATCCATAGCCTTGAGATATTCTGGGTTGGTTGTCAAATCCCCTCTAAATTTTCCAGTCTTAAAAAGCAAAGACTTGCTCTTTTCATAGAATGTAAAGGTTGAAGCTGTGTTGAAACAGTTCTTAAGGATGTAGTCCTCTTGACTTTTACACCGGGCAACCCAAGTGTAAGGATTCCTAATGAAATGGTGGCCTGTAAATTTGTTTATTTGCTTTACAACATTTATGTGCTGCCCCCAAATAAGGACTCCATGTTTGACGGGTTGAGATGAGGAGTGTCTTTCTGCAAGGGATTCTCCACAAAGCCAGTGGTGGCCTTTTCGACCCGTTTTCATTCCTGGTCAAAGGAAGGATTGAGGAACAAAGACATGTTGGGTTAATGGCTCTGGGGGATTTTGCATGATGAGCCAGCTAGAGATCAACCTTCCTCTCTTTCAGAACTTGATTTATCAGAGAACAGAGTCGGGATGAAAGGGGCAGAAGCTCTGTCTACAGTGCTTCGGGAAAATCCAGTTCTTGTGACCGTGAAACTTTCAGGAAATGAACTAAATGACAGGGCAGCCAAATACCTGGCAGATGCTTTAGTGACCAATCAGAAAGTGGAGCACCTTGATCTGAGTCATAACATGCTTGGACAGCCAGCAGGTAAATGTCATAGAAATATTATATTTGAAATATTATATGTAGGAAGCGCTGTAGCACATGTGAGAAAGACACACAGGTACACATGCAATTTGTGTGTTCACTTCACGGCCCTTTGGTTTCTAGCACACCACATACCTTTAAGGGAACATGAATGGTTAAATTAAGGGCCAGTTGTGGTTTTCATAAGCTAAGAACTAACCATTAGGGCAGGAGTCGCCAACCTTTTGGACCTCGGGGATCACCAAACTCATAATTTTAAATCCCGCGGACCAGAGACCCTGGGAAAATCCCCAAAAACGTCTGCAGGAAAATCTCCCACCCTGTTTTCCTACCGACCAATTGTTCCTTATTTGGGAGCGCAGGATACCGTCTTCAGCTCCATTCTTGGGTGTGGGGGAGGGAGAGAGAGAGAGAAAGAGAGAGAGAGACTTGGCTTCATGCAAGAAAAGCAGCAGAAGCAGCAGAAGTCTTTCTTTCTCTCCCACAAACTCCGCCAGAAATGAGTCTTTGCTGGCGCAACCTCTTGGAGCAGGAGGCCTCGCAGGGTCCCAAACACTCCTTTCTGGCGGAGTTTGGGGGACAGGAAGAAAGACTTCTGCTGCTTTCCTTGTGTGCAGCCAAAAGCAGAAGCGGAAAGAAACAGCCTGGTGGCCAAGCGAGGCGTGTGGGGCGAGTGGGTCTGCCCTTCCTCCTCCTCCCCTCACTACCTTGTGTTGTTCAAAAGGCAAGCAACGTAAGCCTTGTGTTCCCGCGGGCCATGTGGGCGGCGCAGCCTTGTGTTCCCACGCAGCCTGGATTAATTGCTTTGGGGGTGACATTTATCTGCAGACCACCGAAATTTTCTCAGGGACCACCAGTGGTCCCCAGCCCTCTGGATGGCGACCACTACATTAGGGTTTACTGTTGTTGGGGGGAAAGAATTGCTGGGCCGTGACTCCTTCCCTCCCTCCCTCCCTTCCCCTTTCTTCCCTTGTTACCTGCTGTGGCTTGGAATCTCCTTCTTTGCCTCATCCCAGGAGAGGTTTTGACTTCCCACCAGCCCCATCTCTTTCTTCTCCTTATGTTTTGAAGAGGACTTTATGATTTGATGGAGAACAGGCGGGGACAAAAGGAAGAGAGAGAGAGTATGCAGAAAATAGGGAAGAGCTACCAAAGTTGAGAAAGCGAAAAAGAAAATCAAGGTAGGGATTAGAAAATTGGGCTCACTTAAGTTTCTGTTTGCCCTTTAAGAGTTTTATCCATTGGTTTACACCCCAAAAATTGCTTCTTGAAATAGAATTACTGATATGTAAAAAAAAATTGTGTAGGAGTAATTAAAAGCAGTATAAAAAGGTTATCAAAATAATTTATTTAGCATATGGCATGTCATACGTGGACTAGCAATATAAATTAACAAGTCAAAACAATATGAATAAGAGAGAGAGAGAGAGAGAGAGAGAGACAAAGCCAGAACTGGGAAGATAAAAATATACATGTATTGCTGAAAAAGCATTACAATTAGCTCCTGATAAACTTTTCTGAGGGGGGAGTAGTCCAGGAAAAGGATAAACAGCCAAGTTGGATTTTTGAGTTGGCTTTGGTTACCTACAGACATTGTTCTCTTGGGAAAAAAAATACAAAGGGTGCTGCTAATGTTTTCTTGTAGGACATGTGGTCAACTTATCAGTCTGAGATTTCCAGAGAAAATCTGGAAGTTTGTCTTCCTAGTGCTGGCCAGAGTTTCCCTTAGCTTTATGGGACAGCGAGGTCAGCCAGAAGCTGCAACCTGCTGGGGCAAAGTAAAGATCCACAACTAAAAAGGCTATGTCTCTTCCAAATTGGTTGCAAAACCCACCAAAAACTTTCTCTTAGATTTTCAGTCCAATTTGTGAAAATCTTAAAGTGCCTGAGGAGAACTGGGCTTCTACGTCACACAGTTTAAAAAACTCTGCTCTAAACTCTGTGGCGGGAACAGCCAGGCTGACCTGAGGGAGGAGAATAAAAAGGGCGTTGGTACTTACCTGACACGTCCGTTCTCCTTGAGCTGTGAAGAGCATCCAGTAGTAGTGGGAGGTGCTTCAGTCTCTGCATGTCCAGGCTGGGCTTAATTTGTGGAACACTCCTCCTCCTCCACGGTACTCCTCCCCAGCGTTCCCCAGTTTTGGCGAAGACGAGAGAAATAAACGCCCTCGTCCTCAATGCCCTAACAATTCGTTGGCTGAAACAGGACCCCACCAGATGGAAAAAAGGGTGGGGCTGGATGCTCTTCACAGCTCAAAGAGAAGGGGCGTGTCAGGTAAGTACCAATGCCCCTTCTCCCATGAGCTGCTCTGAGCATCCAGTAGTGGGACATACCAAAGCTTGGCCTGTCCTACGGGAGGGACTCTGTCTGGCCTGGAAACCCCTCCTGGTCCCTGTGGACCCGTTGCAGAACTCTTCTGCCAAAGGAGGCCTCAGTGGATGCAAACACATCTATTTTATAATGCCTAATGAATGGCGATGGAGAGGCTCGACAAATTTCAGTTATTGGTGCCTGTGTGGCCCACACTGCTGATGTTGCGGCGCTCCTTGTTGAATGAGCTGTTATGCCCCTGGGCACCTGCAGGGATTGAGTCTGATACATTTTCGCTATCGCAGCCTGTAGCCAACGGCCTGTTGTAGAAGATGAGACCTTGCATCCCTGAGTGTTGGGCTGAAACGACACAAATAAAGCTTCCGTTTTTCTGAAAGTCGCTGTGCGGTTAATATATATTCACAATGCTCACCTCACATCAAGCCTATGCCATTGTAGTTCCAACCCTTGGGATGGTCTGGGACAAAAATTAGGAAGTATCAGCTCTTGTGCCCTATGAAAAACTGAGTTAATTTTGGGTATAAACATAGGAGGATCAGGACGAAGGATCACCCGGTCAGAATGGAAAACACAAAGATCTTGTCTGATAGACAAAGCTGCAATCTCCGAAATATGACGAGCAGAAGTGATCGCTACAAGGAAAATTACTTTATACGTCAGAAATTAGAGACTTGACGATTTCAAGGGTTCGAAAGGGCCCTTAGTGAGTGCGACGAGGACCTTGTTAAGGTCCCAGGTGGGATAATGGTGTACCGCTGGAGGGTGTAAATTTGTGGCTCCTCGAAGGAAACTCCGTATGCGTGGATGATGGGAAAGAGATAGTAGACCTTCACAAGTGAGAACTGATGCCAAGGCCGCCACCTGTCTTTTCAACGTATTAGGTGATAATCCCTTGTCAAGTCCCTCTTGCAAGAACTCTAGGATTTGAGCCACAGATGGAGAGATGTGGCATTGTAAATGCGAGTTGTTGAGGGGCGTCTGGCGGCTTGGATAGTGGCGATAACTCTGTTGGAAAACTTTTCGCTCTTTAGACGACTCCGCTCAACCTCCAGACGGTCAGGTGCAACCATTGAGGGTTCGGATGTTGAAGGGGTCCCTGGGTTAGCGAGACCCTGACTGGCTGAATTCTTCGTGGTGTTGATACAGATAGACTGCAGAGGTCTGCAAACCACAGCCGTCTGCGCCAGTAAGGAGCTACTAGAAGTAGCTCCGCCCTCTTGTCTAGCAGTTTCTGGATGACCTTGGGAACCAGTGGAAGTGGCGGGAATGCTTACAGAAGTCCCGGGGGCCAACAACAGTGGAGCAAATTGAAGTTCTCCGCTCCTTGCGAGGGGTACTTGGAAAAAAATCTCGGGAGCTGAGCGTTGAGGGGGGAAGCGAACAGGTCCACCACCGGCTGTCCAGATGTCCTGACCACCTCTTGAAACAGGGTCGGATGGAGGCGCCACTCTGATTGATCGATTGTGGCCCCGCTCAGCCAGTCTGCCTGTGTATTCAACAGACCCGAAATGTGCTCTGCTCTGATGGAAAGTAAGTTGCTCTCCGCCCAATGAAGCAAACGCTCCGCTTCCCGCATGAGATATTTCGACTGTGTGCCCCCCTGTTTGTTTATGTGAGCTTTGGCTGTTACGTTGTCGGTCAATATTAGTATGTGCTGATTGTGTACCTGTGGAAGGAAGCTGAGGAGAGCCAGGTGTACTGCTCGAAGCTCCAGCCAGTTTATGCTGCACGACTGTTCTATGGTGGACCAGCGGCCTTGGGTTGTGAGCGATTGAACGTGCGCTCCCCATCCAAACAGACTGGCATCGGTGGTGATGGTAAGGCTGGTCTGGTCCACCAGAGGAGAGATATGAGGACCTTTGATGGTACCTTGACCTTGTATTTGGAGTTGCTTCGGCCGGTGCACTGGTACGGGAGCAGGAACCACTGGAGGGATCTAGTGTGGAGCCGGGCCCAAGGGATGATAGAGATACATCTTGCCTAACAATTTTGATAGTTCCGCTAGGGACACCCTCTTAAGACCCCTGATCTCCTTGACTAATTGCTGAATGCTATTTAGTCTATCTGGTGACAGGTAAACTTTGCCCTCCACCGTATCTATGACTGCCCCCAGATGGGTTAACCGAGCTGATGGTGTTAAATGACTCTTTTTCCAATTTATTGAGAACCCGTGTTGTTGTAGGGATTGTAATGTGTTCTGAGTATCTTTGACTGCTTGATGAGTGGAAGATGACAAAATCAAGATGTCATCAAGATAACACTGGAGTCGTACGGGGATATCACGGAGATGAGCAGCTAGCGCTGTGAGAACCTTCATGAAGGTCCTGGGGGCAGAAGCTAGTCCGAAAGGAAGGGCCACATATTCGAAATGGTGGTTATTATAACAGAATCTCAGAAATTTATAGTGGGAAGGCCGAATAGCAATATGTAGGTACGCCTCCGTCAGATCTATGGACGTGAGGACGTCACCCTTTCTGATGCCAAGTAAGATAGATTGCAGGATGTGCATTTTAAACTTGCAATATACTAAGAAACGGTTGAGACGTTTCAGATCCAGTATTGCTCTCCACCCCCCCGAACTTTTGGGAACAACAAAAAGATGTGAATAGAAACCTCGACCTCGTTGGTTGGTGGCTACTGGCTGGATGGCTCGTATGTCCAGTAGGTGCTGGATAGCTGTTTCCATGAGATTACGTTTAACCGGGTCTCTGGAGAGAGGGCATGACATGAAAAAATCTGGGGGAGTGGATTGAAACTCCAGCGCAAGGCCAAATCTAATCGTGTCTCAGACCCAGGAATCAGAGGTTGAGGAGTCCCATTGGTCCGCGAATAATTTAAGGCGTCCGCCAATGGGGGTCAGGTCCAGGGAGTTATCTTGGATGCCGAAAGGACCTGTTTCCTGCTCCCCGAAAGGATCTCTTGGATTGACCACCCCTTCTGCTCCTATCCCCGAAGTCGGACCTGTCTGGCTGCTGCCCTGGTCTGAATGATGGGGGTCTCTGGTATCTGGGTGAAAAGGATCCCTGGTAAAAGGGCCGAAAGGATCCCCTCCTAAAAGACTGAGGGTTTCTAGAATCTGACTTTCGAAAAAGGGAAGGTAGAATTTTCTTTTTGTTTCGGGTTTCAATTAGTAGCGGATCAAGGGAAGGGTGAAACAGTCTGTCTCCACAATTGGGGATGAAGCTTGCACTTGTGCTTAAAATCCGCTTGCCAATGTTTTAACCATAGTAAGCGTCGCGCTGTGACATGTGAAGTAATGGCCCTAGATGAAAACTTGACCGCATGATAAGTTGCGTCAGCTGAGAATTCAGCAGCTGCTATAAGTTTTGCAATATCTTGGTGCGCTCTAAGGTTGGAATTAGGGACATGCTCCCGTAAGAGGCGGAGCCATCTGAGAGAAGAACGGGTGAAGAAGGAGGCGGCCATGGCTGCTCTGATGGCCCACGCGTCAGACTGATGGGCTCTGCGTAGGGCTACCTCGGCCCGTTTTTCCTCCGGCTTTAATGCCTCCAGCACATCACTGGGAATGGAGGAGGACGCTAATCCCACTATAGGTTCATCTACCTCGGGAGTATTCAATAATTTTGAGAAATCAGGGGCCAAATTGAAATATTTCCTGTCATATCCAGTGGGGGCTGGGTACACCGCTGCAGAGGCCCACTGCTTCTGTACCAGGTCCGAAAACATGGGAGGAACTGGGATCACCTCTGCTTCGGCTACTGGTTGGTTGAAAATTAGATCTTCTGGTCCCTCTTCCGAAGGAGTTGGACTGGTAGAAGGGGTCAACTTGTTTAGGCGTGCAATATTTTTTGCCTTAAACAAGAGATCTGAAACGTTATGGGCGGAATAAGCCTGTAAAAACAGGTTGGTCAGGAACAAGGCCCTCATCCTCAGACCTTCCCCTTTCTAAGGGGTCTGCTTCTGACAGGGGCTCGCTGTCATGTATTGATCCTGATTCAATCTCTTCCATTTGATCAATTTGATCCACTTCTTCCTCCTCCTCCTCCTCCTCCTCAGTCGGCCCTTGGAGGGGGACCTCCCCTTGTAAATGTACCTGGGTATAGTGCTGCTCCGACCTGGTCAACGACCTCAGAGATTGGGAATCATAATCGGCGATCACAGGATTCACCATTATCCCTGGTCATAACTGCGTGTTGAAGACCTGCTGCGATTCCCTGGCGGATTGCCAGCTCCATCCAGGCCTTCTTCCTCTCTGGAACTTCCTCTGGAAGAATGTCGTCCTGACGAAGACCGGCAGCCGTCGGAGTGAATGTAGCTTTGGGAGCCCTTCGTGTGGTCGGTGTCCCAGATACTTGGGCCTGTTGGCCTTGGGGAGCCAAGCTGCGCCTGGATGAGAGGGAGAGATCTAGGGGGGGAGGAGGGTGGGAAGAGGTAGACGGACCTGGACTGGAGGAGGGGAAGTCCTGTGAGACCTTGTGCGCCTCCCGTGTGCACTTATCTATCTGTTTTTGTAAAGCTTTATGGCGCCTGATGGCATCCCTTTCTGAAGTTTTAGAATTCCCTTTAGCCTGCTTAGGTTTGTGCTGAGATTTGGCTTTGACCTTCAAGGATGAGGTCTGAGAGCTGCTACCGTCTGCCATTTCGATTGAAGTTGGAATTACAGTATGCTTGTTATACAATGCAATACTGTGAAGGCGGTTGGCACGCCCAGGGGCCAGATCTGAGGACAGACCGGTTGCCCTGATGATGTTTTTATTGCCCCCTTTCCTCTTTTTTTTTTAATAATACCTATCTATAATGAGTCGTATCTCAGTAATAATATTTTATTGATATTAAAATATTATACCGAAGAGAAAATTCTTATTATATATATATGGCAGTATGTATATCAATATTAATTAAGTGGCACGATGTTACGTGCTGAGAAACCAAACAGCCAAATTGAGATTGATAAGATAGAGGCCTTCAACAGCTTCCCTGCACAGGTGGACACAGGCCTAGGTGCTCGCTGTTGTGCTGCTGGATTGATTGGGCTGTGAGGGTTAAGCCAACAATTTAACTGTAAGAATAGCCTCGAATGTAGAAAAAAAACCAAGACGAGGGTATAATGGTCCCCAGTGTTCCTGAAGGGAACCTCTGCTCGGAACAGAGTTACCTCACACAGCACAAAATGGAATACAGGCGCGCGGCCACGAGGTCTTGTAAGAAAAGATGGCCTCCGGCCTTTAATCTTTTGGCGCGCTCCCCAGCAGCAAACTCCCGCCGTGTGAAGGAATAGCCTCCGATGGCTTTTCCTATAAGGCTAAACGGCGGGGAAGGGTGGAAGGCACTAAGCATTTGAATCCTCCACCCCAAGTGGCGTTCAGAGGGGGAAGGAAAGCGATACGACTCTGTTGGGAGCAAAGAGCTCACACCGCTGTTCGGGTAAAAGAAACTCTGCGGCAATCTGTCGGAATGGCAGGGGTAGAAAGATCGGTTGTGGGGAGGGGGCGCGGAGCAGCCCCGAAGCCTCCCGCTGCTTTGGGGCGCAAATTGGCGCTTCCCTGTAATGCGAGCGATCTCTGTAATGTGAGCCAACGTCGAGAGATCGCAATGTGATTAGAAGGCTAAAGGATTCTAAAGACAAGCTGATTAACTTTCAAACCTGCTAGCAAGGAAAGAATCTTTCCTGTTTCGGCCAAGGAAGAATCACAAGCACTGCCTATCTCTCACGAGGCTGAGCCAAAACTGGGGAACGCTGGGGAGGAGTACTGTGGAGGAGGAGGAGCGTTCCACAAATTAAGCCCAGCCTGGACATGCAGAGACTGAAGCAGCTCCCACTACTACTGGATGCTCTGAACAGCTCAGGGGAGAACCTCTCCATGTCATGACGTTAATCACCAGAAAGCTGCTTCTGGAACACTCTGGTTATTCCCACAAGCAGGTGCTCCTCAGAGTTCCTGGCTCTGTGGGAACCTCCTCTTCCTACTGCTTGCAGATCCTACTATCCTTCCCTTCTTCCTCTGTGAGCTGAAATCTCTGCTATGGGGAGAGGAATTTGCTTCGCGAAAATTCAGCAACAGAAACTACATTAGGTTGGATAGCAATAGCCCTTAGACTTACATACCGCTTCACAGTGCTTTAAAGCCCTCTCTAAGCGGTTTATAGAGTCAGCCTATTGCCCTCAACTATCTGGGTTCTCATTTTATCCATCTTGGAAGGGTGGAAGGGTGAGTCAATCTTGGGCTGGTCAGGATCAAACTGCTGGCAGTCGGCAGAATAAGCCTGCAGTACTCATTCTCACCACTGCGCCAGCACAACTCCTGTATGGGGAGAGGCTGCTACTGTAAATGTGGGCTGGGACCCAAGAGGGCGTCATTCTTTTGCAAAGCCTCCCTCAGTTTGATGTTTCAGGCCTCTTTCCCGTTCCTTGTGTCTCCATCTACACTGAACCAGGAGAGGCTCTTGGCGTGGCCATGGCGGAAAATGTGGGGCTGAAGAAACTCAACCTCAGCTGGAACAACTTTCGGGGCCAAGGAGCAGTAGCTGTCGCCAAAGGCTTGGGGGTAGGAAAAGGGACTTGGTTTGAGAGTTTTCCATAGGGATGAAGTTGGAAAGCGTAAGGTGTCATTTCACCCCTCCAACCTCTTAAAGCAGGGGTGTCAAACTCAAGGCCGAGGGGCTGGATCTGGCCCATTGGGACCGCCCTGGAAACAGCAAAGGACAGGCCCGCAGTGCCTCTGCCAGCAAAAACAGAGCCAGGAGGGCTATGGGTGACTCTCCCGAGCTCCACTTTCACTGGCAGAGGGTTGCAGGAAGCCGTCACAGCCGAAAACGGAGCTCGGGAGCCTATTTTCTCTGACAGAGCACTTGGGCCGCCACAGGCACAAGTGACATCGAGCTGGCCACACCCACCCTGGTCCCCCAAAGTCAAACAAAATCCTCAGTGAAATCAAGTTTGACACTCCTGCTCCAAAGTGCAAACAAGTTTGAAATAATTTAGCTCTGTTCTAATGTGTAGTGCAAGTGTAGGCAACTATGGCAGCTAATGTTTTTTTATTGTTTTCATGGTTCTTACTGTGTTTATCATTTTAAAATGTTTTTAAGATTTTAATTATAATATGTTTCTAAATTGTGAGCTGCCCAGTGATGTTTGCCGAGATGGGTGGCTCTAGATACAAACAAACAAAACATTTACAACCTGTGGACTTCAACAGAATTCCTGGAAATTGAAGTCCACAGGTATTAAACTTGCCATAGTTGTCCACTCCTGTTTTAGTGGCATCACAATATCACAGGCCACCTTTCCTGCATCTCCCAGCAGCGGATAAGGGAAAGTGTGCAGTGTGTAGCAGCAGCCAGAAAAATTAATACAATCCTGGATTGTATAAACAGAGGCAGAGAATCAAGATCACGTGAAGTATTAGTGCCATTTTATAAAACCCTAGTAAGGCCACACCTGGAATACTGCAACAAATTTTGGTCACCATACTACAAAAAGAGATGTTGAGACTTTGCAAAAAGTTCAGAGAAGAGCAACTAAGATGATCAAAGGCCTGGAGACTAAAACATATGAAGAACGGCTGCAAGATTTGGGTTTGGCTAGTCTAGAGAAAAGGAGAATTGGGGTGACATGATAGCAGTATTTCAGTATTTGAGGATTTGCCACAAAGAGGAGGGGGGTCAAATTATTCTCCAAAGCACCAAAAGGCACCACAATGGTTGGAAATTAATCAAGGAGAGAAGCAACTTGGAATTAAGGAGAAACTTCTTAACAGTGAGGATCTTGGAGCGTGTTGGTGCTGATGGACAGACAGAATCCTACAGTCCTTGTTGTGGGGGTGGTGCAGCTGCTCTGGTCTCCTGTGGACACACCACCTTGGACTTTCTCCAAGCTCTGCTAACTCTGTCTTGTTCCACAGGCAAATATATTCCTTCGAGTCCTTGATCTGTCATATAACGGCTTTGGCAACAGCGGTGCAGCTGCTCTGGGGGCAGCCCTGAAAAGCAACAATGTGCTGGAAGAACTCCACATCGGGTAAGGAGGCGCCTGCACTTCCTGAGTGTGCTGAGAGCTGTTTCTTAGTCCTCCTAGGCCCAAGCCAGGAAAGGGAGTAGTTTCTAGGAGCCCCCTATGGCCATCAAGGCAACTGAGTCTGAGGCCATCAAGTGAGTTTCCGGCAAAGGCTGGATTTGAATTGGGGACTGCTCATCTGCTTAGGGGAGAGAGGAGAAACTAGCAGCCTCTTCTCTCCCCTCTTCCCCTCTGCCCAGGCTGCCCAACCAGAACAGAACAGACTTAACAAGTTGGAAGGAGCCTTAGAGGTCTTCTAGTTCAACCTCCTACTCAAGGAGGAGACCCTACACCAGGGGTCTCCAAACTTGGCAACTGTAGCATTTGTGGACTTCAACTCCTCTCTTCCCCTGGCCAGCATGGTTATTTTAAGGAATTCTGGGAGCTGAAGTCCACAAGTCTTACAGTTGCCAAATTTGGGGACCCCTGCCCTACACCATTCCAGACAAGTGGCTGTCCAGCTTCCTCTTAAAGGCCTCCAGTGATGGAGCACCCACCACTTCTGACGTTGTGGGCACTCCATCACTGACACCCACAACAAGTCTTCCTCTGGTGTAGCGTTTGGGGCACTCGGGGAAAAAAGCGTTTTGATGGGCAACATGCTGGTGTTGAGAATGGAGCCAGTAGATCGATTGCTTCCCTTTGACGCTCGGCACAGGTGCCACATCCCAGCAGGCTGAGCTGAACCTGTGGCCTCTTGCCAGTCAAGAGGGGGGGGGAGCTTGGGAGGGCCTGGGCCCAAGTCACCCAGCGCTGTTAGGCAAACCGAACAGGGCCTCCTTCTTGCTTGGGTGATGGGTGACCCTAGGAATTGCAGTCTGTGACTTAGCTTGAGGTACCAACCCAGCCAATTAAGGAAATGGAGGGTTACCATGAGACTCAGTATTCCACCCTACAGAAGAATGATAAACAAAATGCTGTTTCTTAAGAAGCCATTTTCCTGGTCTGTTTTGGTGAAATGAAATATTAAATAACCCCCTTTGTTTTAAAAAAAAAGCAAAGTGCAGCATCTGAGGATAATCTCAGAAGCTAGACAAAGATTCTTGTGAATTCTTGTGAACTAAATGGCCTCTTCCAATTCTTTGGGAGTTTGACCAGCCCATCCTGATTTCAGATAACCAGTGGGCTGCCATGCAAAATAAAATAAAAAATAAAATAAATCCAGCAGTCTTATTCTCTTTCCCCCCAGAGAAGAGGACCAGAAGGAAGGTGTGGGGGTTGCAGAATCCCGTCAAATTGTGCATAGGCTGCTTGGGGCCTGGGGTGCCCTGCCCGCTCTGCTGGACGACTGTCTGCCCAGACTCTCTCAATTTCAGGGTTCTTGGTGATTCTCTCAGAGATGAAGGAGCCTTCTGTGTGGCAAAAACTCTCGAGGCCTCAGGAAAAAGCAAAGTTTTTTCCTTGTTCAACTACTAGTAGTTCAGCTACTGGAAATGGAACACAGAACCTAGAAATCTACAGTTGGAAGTGCTGGGAATTTAGTTGGAGCTATTACATACTGACTAATCTAATCGTTCATGTGATTATGGGAACCATTTGGGCCAAATGAAAATGTGGGCAGCCACTCAGAAGGGTTTTCCTCGGAAGAGAATGTTTGCTGCAGCAAGTCCTTTTCCTGCTTCTCTAATTGGGCTCTTTAGACCTGAACCCAGCTCTGAAATGTTGAAATGTATTGACTGACAGGAAAGATTTGGTCTCTTGTCATAGCTGGTAGATCCTGTGATTGATTGATTTTACATACCTCCAGCAACAAACGAGTGTGGGTCAGCACGGGTGGGCGGGCAGGAAGAGAGAAAGGGGGGGGGAGTTTTAGGTTACCGTCTCTTTTTATTCTCAGTAATAATCGCATTGCTTTGGAAGGAGCTCTGGCGCTGGCTTTGGGCCTGAAAGGGAACAAGAACCTGAGGAAACTCAAGGTGAGGAGCTTTTGGGAAGGTGACCCCGAGACCCAAATAGCCCTGCCAGGCCGGGGATGCAGAAGGGCTCTGTTCTCTCCTGTGCTCTGCAGATGTCCAGGAACCCCATCCAGAATGAAGGCTGCCTCGGGATCCTCAAAGCCATCAGAGTAAATCCTGGAGCTGCTATGGAACTTCTGGATTTCTCAGTAGGTTTTGGTCAAAGAGGGAAAACGGCCTGTCTGAAATGACACCGCAGGGTTGTCCAAACGGATGGGGAAGCGGAACACCCTTCGCTGGGAGCTCCCAAAGGCTGGGGATTTGCGGGCAGTGAAGATGTGAGTGGCACACAACTTCAACAAACGGTGTGCTTCAACTTCAACAAGGGAAATCCAGATAAGAAATTCTGGGTGGGTGTAATTCTGGGTTGTGCTGTGATCGGGTGAGCCGGCTTGTAGGCAGGAAGATAAAGGGAATAAGGAACTTGTGAAATTATTGCAACTGCACAGATTGAGGGAAAGGAAAGGCGGCCCTGGCTCGGAAGTGGTTTGCATTTCTTTCTTCCAGGATGCCTTTTCGCCTTCCCAATTTCCTTCTGGTCTTCCATCCGAGGAGCAACCAGACCTGCCCCTGCTTTGCTTCCAAGCCTAGAGAAGGTTGCAAAGTTAGGCTAAGGTTAGGCTAATGCATTAAGGAAGGTAAAGACTCTACAGGTGCTGCTTTCCAGACTGGAACACAGCAGGGCTGGCTGGGTGGGTGGGGTAGACAAGACCATTTCCGCAAGCCCTGAAGATGCGGTTCCCAGCTCCACACAGCACAGCACCAACTGGGCCTTGATCCAAGAAGGGTCATTTTCTCTCCTTCTCAGGTAGAAGGGGATGCAGCTGGTGTGGTCCCTGTCTTCAGGTGAACCTGCCTCACCTGGCTGCCTCCCTCCCTCCTCTCCCCTGGGCAGAAGCAGCTTTGCTTTGTGGCTGTTTGTTGGGCTGCAAGGGAAACCAAGACGAGAGACTGGTTTGCTTTAATCCGGCCTGAGACTGCGGCAGCTTTGGCTCTGACCTGCTCACTGCCTGGAATTCCTCCTTTCAGGCAATTGTGGTGAAGCGGGACTTCGTCCAGGCGTGTGAGGCTGTCCAAGAACTTTTCCCAAGCCTTTTGATCCACCACGATGGAACCACTCGCTCGTTCGGAAGAAAACTTTCAAAGGTGCAGCAAGTAACTTCGCTTAGATAGAGAATAGATAGAATACTTTATTGGCCAAGTGTGATTGGACACACAAAGAATTTGTCTTGGTGTAAATACGCTCAGTATACATAAAGGAAAAGAACCATTCGTCAAGAGTCGAGAATCATAAGGTATGACACTTAATGATAGTCATAGGGTACAATAAGCAATCAAATTATACTAGGAAACAGTCAATATAAATCGTAAGGATACAAGCAACAAAGTTACAGTCCTACAATCACAAGTGGGAGGGGATGGGTGATAAGGAGTGATGAGAAGATTAACAGTAATAGTAGTGCAGACTTTGTAAATTGTTGAACAGTGTTGAGGGAATTATTTGTTTAGCAGAGTGATGGCATTTGGGGAAAAACTGTCCTTGTGTCTAGTTGTTCTGGTGTGCAGGGTTCTATAGTGTCGCTTTGAGGGAAGGAGTTGAAACAGTTTATGTCTGGAATGTGAGGGGTCTGTAAATATTTTCACAGACCTCTTTTTGACTTGTACAGTATACAGGTCCTCAATTGAAGGCAGGTGGGTTGTAATTGTTTTTTCTGTAGTCCTAATTATCTTCTGAAGTCTCTGTCTGTCCTGTTGGGTTGCAGAGCCAAACCAGACAGAGGTGCAGATGACTGACTCCATCATTCCTCTGTAGAACTGGATCAGCAGCTCCTTGGGCAGTTTGAGCTTTCTGAGTTGGCGCAGAAAGAACATTCTTTGTTGTGCTTTTTTGATGATGTTTTTGATGTTAGGTGTCCATTTTAGGTCATGTGATATAGTAGAACCTAGAAATTTGAAGGTCTGTACTATTGATACTGTGTTGTCTAGTATTGTAAGAGGTGGTAGTATAGGAGGGTTTCTTCTAAAGTCTTCCACCATTTCTACAGTTTTGAGTGTGTTCAGTTCCAGATTGTTCCGGTTTCACCACGAGGCAAGTTGTATAACCTCCTGTCTGTATGCGGATTCATCGTTGTCTCGAATGAGACCAATCACTTTTGTGTCATCAGCAATCTTCAGTATTTTAACAGATGGATCGTTTGAGATGCTGTCATTGATATATAGGGAGAAGTGGAGATAGCACACAGCCTTGGGGGGGCGGGGGCGTGTGATGATTGTACAGGTATCGGAGGTGATTCCGCCTAGCTTCACCTGCTGCTTCTTGTTTGTTAGGAAGCTTATGATCCACTTACAAGTGTGTTCAGGTACCGCTAGTTGGTTTAATTTACTTAGAAGAGTGTCTGGAATGATGGTATTGAATGCTGAACTGAAGTCTCCAAAGAGGACCCTTGCGTAGGTATTTGGAGATTCAAGGTGTTGTAGGATGTAATGCAGAGCCATGTTAACAGCATCATCTGTCGATCTATTTGCTCGGTATGCAAACTGCATGGGATCTAACAGCGGATCCATGATGGTTTTCAGGTGGGACAGCACAAGCCTTTCAAAGGTCTTCATAACTACAGATGTTAGAGCAACTGGTCTATAGTCATTCAGTTCCTTGATGGAGGGCTTCTTTGGCACTGGGATGATGGTAGAATGTTTGAAGCAGGAAGGAACATAGCGCATCTCTAGTGATCTATTGAAGATTCGGGTGAAGTTGGGGGCCAATTGGTCAGCACAGACTTTTAAGCAAGAAGGAGTTATCTTGTCTGGCCCTGGTGCTTTTCCTGGCTTCTGCCTGGGTAATAGATCTTGCACTTCTTTTTCTGTGATCACCAGAGGTTGTGAGCCCAATGGATTGGGGCCAGTTGTAGGAGGCTTGGCTGTTGTTGGTGTGTTTGAGATGTGGGTTGTGGAGATAGGTGGCTGTAGTTTCTTTTCAAACCTGCAGTAACATGCTTGTCTTTTATTTATTTGATTTGTCAATCGCTTACAAGATGATAGGTATAAGTATAAACATGAGTAAGAATACAGGAAATAGATACGAATAAATGGGGACAATAGGACAGGGACGGTAGGCACGATTGTGCACTTATGCATGTCCCCTTACAGATCTCTTAGGAATGGGTATTCTCTCCCCTTCCTTTCTCTCCTCCCTCCATTCTTTTCTCTCCTTCCTTCCTTTCCTTCCCCCTTTCTTCTTTCCTTCCATATTTTATTTTTTATTTTATTTATTTGATTTGATTTGATTTGTCAATCACTTACAAGCTGATAGGTATAAGTATAAACATGAGTAAGCATACAGGAAATAGGTATGAATAAATGGGGACAATAGGACAGGGACGGTAGACACGATTGTGCACTTATGCACAGCCCTTACAGACCTCTTAGGAATGGAGTGAGGTCAATAGTGGATAGTTTGAGGGTAAAGGAGTGGGGTTTAGATGATGTAGCAACAGAGTCAGGTAGTGCATTCCAGGCATTGACCACTGTGTTGCTGAAGTCGTGCTTTCTGCAATAAAATTTGGAGCGGTTTACATTGAGTTTATATCTGTTGCGTGCTCTTGTATTGTTGCGGTTGAAGCTGAAGTAGTCATTGACGGGGTAGGACATTGTAGCAGATAATTTTGTGTGCTACGCTTAAGTCCAACTGTAGGCGGCGTAGTTCAAGGTTTGTCCAAACCCAAAATTTCAAGCCTGGTGATATGGGGTACTCTGTTGTGAGCAGAGGAGTGGACTCGTGAAATACTTCTGGACTCACTCAGTTGTATTAATTGTCTTCCCATGGCTAGATGCCCTAAATGCAGGAGGCCTCCCCATCCTTGGCCACTTCAAAGACTTGTGGATGTCAACTCCTAAAATTCCATGCCGGCTGAGGAATTCTAGAAGCTGAAGTCCATGAGCCTTTCAAGTTGCCAAGGTTGGAGACCCCCCTGTCCTGATGATGCACTGTGCCTTCCTACCACTGTCTCAGCGCAGGGAGGCCTGGCAGTGCATTGGGGGGGGGGGCGCTGCTAAAGGCGGGGGGATCAGTGTGATGGCAAATGTGCCATGTTGTCAAACCACACGCATCTCAGTGCTGCACACAGAGCTAAAAGGGGCAGAGCTGGCAGCACAAGGCCCAAAGGAGGAAGTCCCTGCTGAGCAGCCTTGACGGGTTTTGCAGCCCCTGGAATCCATCGGCTCCTGGTGATTCCCTGACTGTCCGTGCCTGCAGCCTCTGGGTTGCCCACCGTCCAGGGGAATATGCCTTTGCAGGGAAAATAATACAAAAGCCCTACGACATATTTAAGGCGGCTTCCATTTCTGGCTTTGACTTCGATCCAAGGATTGTTGGGTGGTTCCAGACACCCTTGGGAAGGAGATTCTGCGGCCCATGGCGCACTGCCTCTGCACAGCAGCACTGGGGGTGCCCAGCCAGGGGAAAAAAGGTGATTTCTTGCACTAGATCGGGGTGTCAAAACTCAAGGCCCATGGGCCCGCCCTGGAAACAGCCAGGCCTCCGTCTCCGCTGGCAGAGGGTTGCAGGAGAGGCCCTTGCAGCCTCCGGAGCCCCGTTTTTGCTGGCAGGGCACTCAGGCCACCCCATGCACCCCCGACATGAGAGATGCCAAGCTGGCCACACCCATCCTGCTCACACACACACACACACACCCAGGTCAAACATGACCCTGATGGGGCCCTCAAAGGAATCAAGTTTGACACCCCTGGCCAGTTGGGGGATTCCAGCTCCGCATGCCCATTGCTGTGGTGTCCAGACCAGGGTCTCCAACCGTGGCAGCTTTAAGACTTATGGACTTCAATTCCTAGAGTTTCTCAGCCAGCCAAGTCCACAAGTCTTAAAGTGGCCACGGTTGGAGACCCTGGTTTAGATAGTAAGCCTGATTCTGGTGCTCGGCAACACACTTGTCTTCCCAAAGCAAGCCCCTTTCTTAGCACCTGAGGCTTGGATGCAGCTCTAGTTGCTTTCCAAAGGCCATAATTTTGCACCAGGAAATGGAGAAATCCGATGGTGCCAGAAAACAGTGGCATTGACTCCTTGGTGGACTTACAGATTAACAGAGTTGGAAGGGAACTTGTAGGTCATTTAGTCCAACCCCCCCCATCCAAGCAGGAGACCCTACACCATTTCTGACAAGTCTCTTCTTGAAAGCCTCCAGGGATGAAGCTCCCACAACTTCCGAAGGCGGCTTCTGTTCCATCGGTTGATTGTTCTCCCTGTCAGAAAAGGTCTCCTTAGTTCCAGGTTGAATCTCTCTCCTTGTTCAGTTTCCATCCATTGTTCCTTGTCTGGACTTGTGCGTGTTCTCACACTTGCAGGTTTCCTAAAGAGGTTCCTGGTAGCTCTGGAAGATCAGCCTTTTCTTGTGGACGTCCCAGATGGGAGAACTGCGGTGAAACTTGTCTGGTGATCCTTGTGATTCCCCTCCCCCACACCGGGCTTCTCTTTGTGCAAGAACCAGCATGTTCTGTGTAATGCCACTTTTTCATGTGCTGAACGGTTGCTGCAGGGGTTTCCTTCCAAGGATTTTGGCACCCTGCAACACGAGGGGATCCATCGGCACCAGGGGTAGCAATTTCCCCTTTGAGGCAAACCCTCCCGTGATTGTCCGAGCGGACTTCCATGGAGGCTAACAGGAAGCTGATAAAAATCTGGGAAGGACCTTTGGATGCATTTATTCCCTCTCATTCTGCAGAGTTTGGGAACTGCTCTTCTATCCAAAAATCTGTCCCGGTACTTTTAGCCAAATTATTTTGTGTGCCATCCTCAATTATAAACCTTTCCTCTTGCACAACCTGCACAGCTTCCCCTGAAAACATTTCCAGTTGCCAGGATTGTACAGCAGACTTCCTGGCTGGAGGTTGTCCCAGAGGAAGTTGTCCTTCCCCTACACCACCACCACCACCCCCCACCCCCCACCCCGCAGGCAGCCCAGTCGTGTTGGCCAGAGGCGTGAAGGTGACCCTCTCCCCTGCTGGAGAGCTTCTGCTTGGGGGAGGCCACCCAGAACCACCCCTCCCCTTAAGGTATCTTCACACAGGCTGTAGTGAAATTCAGGGGCGGATTGGCCACAGTCCAGGGCCACAGCTTTCTGGGTGCATGCGGTCAGCTCCAAGCCATGTTGAAGGGTGGGGCCAAGAGAAAAGTGAAGGAAGGAAGGCAGCAAAGGGTTGGGGAGAGAAGAAGGGTAACACCCCCCCCCCCCCCAAAAAAAAAAGTGTGGGTCAAGCAGTGGATTACTTACATGCTGTTTGCTTGCTATGGGGCCATTTGTAGTAAATAATGTATCTCACTCCAGCTCTCTTTTTTATTTTTTTATTTTTGTAAACTTCAATTTTGCCAGAGAAATCTTGTATTTAAGTTTGAAGTATTCTGCCCAGAGTCACTTTGTGCGAGATGGGCGTCCATATAAATTAAATAAATAAATCTAAATCTATACACCCCCTAAAACTCTCGTGCCTGTAACCTTTAGCTGGGTGAAAAGGTACTATCGTAGGCCATAACTTTTTCAACCAGTATGACTCAGATGGGCTAACTTACTGAATATGTATGTCCAAAATATGGGGCATAATAGCTCTTGTAGAATTGAAATTTGGCAAATTTTGTACAATATTTTGTGACAGAAAAATCAACATTTTAAGAAGTAATAAAAAAGTCAGAAAACATTTCCTGTGGTCAATGTTTGTCTGTGCTATAAAATTCAACACGGGCTACTTCCAAGGCCGATACGTCTCGGAATATTACCCTGAATTTTTAAAGAACTTTTCAAGTACTTTAGAAGCTCTGCCATTCTTAAAGATACTGAGGAATCTGGCAAGAAAAAATTTCTAAAACAATGACCCAACAGGGCATGGGTGGTCTAGTAAATAGATAAAACTCACTGGGTGAATTAGCATAGGAGTCTTCATACATTTCAGCAGAAAAGAGGAAAGATTACTGTACTTCCTGTGCCATGAAAAGAGACATATGCCTCAGAAAGCAGAAATCTAGTAATTCTTTAAAGCTCTATTACTCCATAAGCTTTTGTAGATCACAGACTTTCAAGATACCTACAAGTATCTTTATTTTGATGCAGAAGTTAATATAGCTACTAGGCCTTGGTTTGAAACTAGCCTTAAATGCATCGTGTTAGTTCCTAACTAGGACAATTGGAATCAGAAAGTGACCTCAATCTGGCATTGCAAGGATGGAAGTTCACACACCAGTTTAAAAGATTTAGTAAGTTCTTTGGGTTTTTTTTTTTTCCTCTTGAGAATGAAGTAACCAGAGCTGTGCACTACATTGCCATTAATTAACTGATCAGGTCATTTAACCAGCTAGTCTCCTACAGTTTTTTTTTTTTTTTTAATTCCTGGGGTTTGAAGGCGGGAGGAACACATGGGAGAAATGTCTTTGATGCTCAGTGTGCTACAGTTCTTTGAATGCCACCGGGTGGGTGTGGTAGCTATGCAAGAAAAGCTTATGGAAAGATTTTATTAGAAGCCACTATTTTGTAGAAAGATGCGGTCTTTTTTATTTTTTTAACCCTATTCCATTCATGCCTTTTAATTTTATGCACGAGCGGAATTCTTTAAAAAGTTTTCTACTAACACTGTAACCTTATTAAACTTCTTGCGATGACTCTTGTGGGATAACGCAAGTGGGAAGGAACGGAGAATCACCTCGTGGCCAAGCTCAGCCTTGAGGCCCCTCTGAGCAAGGGGGCTTGAGGGGAGCAGGGTGGGTGGGCGCAAGGTCCTGCCTCTGTCTTTGGAGTGATGGGCAAAGGGTGCGCTCCCGAAAGCCATGCCTTTGCTGTAAGGAAGCTGGACTCCTCCTGTCTTTAACACCCCTCCCCCTTTTTGTCACTCACAAGAACGGGTGTGGATTTAGGATTTCCGAAGGGGGAAAGGCTGCCTGCACACTACACGCATGGCTGAAATAATCTGCAGCACAACCTCACTTGAATCAGTCACCGCCCTGCAGAAACGAGTCTTTATCATTGGCTGGTTGGCTTCTTGGCCAACTGCCACCGCACAAAAAGTCACCACACAAAAAGGAAAAGGAGGAGGATGTGGCCAGGGCAGCCACACATAAACATATAAACATACACACACACGCACACCCGGCACACAGTTAAGCAGGAAGCGGAGGAAGTGCACAGCGGGAAAAGGGATGGGGCCGCCAGGCAGGACAAACCCCGCATAGCCCCTCCCAGCGAGGAAAGCTGCAAAAAGGGAAGCAGGACCTTCCTCTACGTTATTGTCCCCAAATGAACATTTGACTTCTCTCTCTCTTCTCCATCCTAGCAGGCATTTCCTCTTTCCCCAAAGGTTGCTTCCATCCTACTGCAGCCTGTCCTTCCTGGACCTAGAGGCAGCCCCTTCTCACAGGAGAGCCCACCCCTCCTATGTGCTCTGCGCACCCTCCAGGGGGCACATGCTGTTGCCCCCCCTCTTGTGTGAGGGTCTGTGCTGGAGGGCAGCCCCCTTGCAACCCTGCAGGAGGGAGGCAAACACCAGGCTAGTCCCAAGAACCAGGAAGGACCTTGGTGTTCTCACAACACAACCCTGAGAGGCCATGTGTTCACACAGCACGCCCAGTCAGGGCAATTACAAGCTGTATCTACCCCACAGGTGGCAGCTGGGAGAAATTTAGCATGGCCGTCTCTGGGTCTGTGTGTTGGTTGTGTGTGGTTTAGTATGTGGCGCTAACCTACCATTGGGTCATTCGGGGTATTTGGCAAAGCAAGATCCTTGGGTAAAGGGTGTTGTGTGAACTCAGCTGTTCTCCTTTCCCAGCTTCTCCACCCTGAGGAAACAAGGGGAGACACACCCATTGCAACCTTTGCTTTCTGTTTCTGGGGAAGTCCAACCTTTGGCTTTCTTGTCCATACTTCTCCCTCCACCGTTTCTCTCCACAGTGAGGCTGCTTTGCTCTAGGCCAGGGGTCTCCAATCTTGGCCACTTTAAGACTTGTGGACTTCAACTCCCAGAATTCCTCAGCCAGCTTTGCTTTTGGATTTCAACTTCCAGTAATGGCCGCCGTATCCAAGAAAAATGGAAAGGGGTCCAAGGCTCCCCTCCAGCTTTGAAAGCTGCAAATGTAATTGATTTGTCCCACTGATATGGTCTAAGTTCTCCTGCCTGAGCAGCGGGTTGGACTAGAAGACCTCTGAGGTACCTTCCAGCTCTATTCCGATTGATTGATCGATTGAATTCCTCAGCCAGCAAAGCTGCCTGAGGAATCATAGAAGTTAAGTCCACAGGTCTTGAAAGTTGCCAAGGTTGGAGACCCCTGCTCTAGGGCTGTCCAGGGAGAGAAGAGAAGAATTAAAAAAAAAGAAATCAAGGTGGCCACCACCATAGAGTTGAAGGAGCTCCTAGTGCCTTGTCGAGGCTGCCATGTTGACTTCCTTTGACCAGCCTTGGTTTGCTCCTGCTGTGGCCAATGCCTCACTGCGATTGGTGGCCTCTACCAGCTCCCTGCTCCCTTCCACTCCATCGGTGGTGCTACCCCCCCACGGCTGCCCCCCTTGCATCTGGCCAGCATCCCAAAGCCACGCTTGTGCAGGAAGAAATCCACTGACCCACGCTTTTAACACCTGCCCGTTCCAGCTCTAAGCACCCTGTCACCTGGATGGGTGTGTCTGTGCAAGAGAGAGATGCTCAGGCTCTCAGGTGTGCTGGGGGGTCACCTTTGCTAGTGGTCAAGGACCCTGTTTGAGACCGGAACTGGAAAATCTGCTCATCTGAAGAGTTAGTCCAACGTTCTGACAACCCTGCCCCTGCCCCACCCTGCAGGAGCCAGTGGTGGTATGCTACCGGTTCGGACCGGTTCAGCTGAACTGGTAGTAAAAAAAAGCCGACGGATCAGCTGAGTGGAGGGGAAAAAATCCCGGGGCTGCAGGTTTCAGCTGGTGTGGGCAAAGCTGCACGCCGGCGTTAGGCAAAGCACGCCCACCAAACCGGTGGTAAAACCATTGGAATCCCACCACTGGCAGGAACCCATCAAAGAGGGCAGCGTCCTGGCATACATGATGCACCCTGCCCTCCTCCACTGATTTATCAAGACCCCGAAATGGCAGGCCAGGCACCGCCTCTTGGAGGGCAGGTCAGAGAGGAAGGGGGGGGGAGCAAGTGGACGGCACAAAGGGGCCACACAGGACCCCTTTGCTGGAGGAGGGTTTAGCTGGGCTGCAACGCGGGGGGCACAAGCGAAAGGAGCCGTTTCTCAAGGCCGCCCGGCAACCGGATGAGTCCAGTCTTCAGGTCAGAGAGGTGGGGGCCAGGTAAGAGAGGAGCAATTGGGGGGGGGGGGCAGCCCCCCTTGGCAGTAAAAGCTTGGTTTCTCCCCAGACTTTCCTGCCTGCGCTCTTCTCTGCCCAGACT